ATAACTACAATTATTACTACACAAAGTATTAAATATAACTACAATTATTACTACACAAAGTACTAAGTATAACTATAATTAGTATAATTCATTTTATTTTTGTTTTCAAATCACATACATGTAAATTGATATGTATTCTTATTATTATAAAATGAATAAATAAATAAACAAATAAATAAATAAATAAATAAATAAATAAATAAATAATTAGTACTACACAAAGTATCACGTATTACTATAATTGGTACTACACAAAGTATTAAGTATAACTACAATTAGTACTACACAAAGTACTAAATATAACTACAAGTAAAACTACACAAAGTACTAAGTAAAACTACAATTAGTACTACACAAAGTATTGAGTATTACTATAATTGGTACTACACAAAGTATTAAGTATAACTACAATTAGTACTACACAAAGTACTAAATATAACTACAATTAGTACTACACAAAGTGCTAAGTATAACTACAATTAAAAATACACAAAGTACTAAGTATAACTATAATTAGTACTACACAAAGTATCAAGTATTACTATAATTGGTACTACACAAAGTATTAAATATAACTACAATTAGTACTACACAAAGTGCTAAGTATAACTACAATTAAAACTACACAAAGTACTAAGTATAACTATAATTAGTACTACACAAAGTATTAAGTATTACTATAATTGGTACTACACAAAGTATTAAGTATAACTACAATTAGTACTACACAAACTACTAAATATAACTACAATTAGTACTACACAAAGTATTAAATATAACTACAATTAGTACTACACAAAGTGCTAAGTATAACTACAATTAAAACCACAAAGTACTAAGTATAACTATAATTAGTACTGCACAAAGTATTAAGTATTACTATAATTGGTACTACACAAAGTATTAAGTATAACTACAATTATTACTACACAAAGTACTAAATATAACTACAATTAGTACTACACAAAGTATTAAATATAACTAAAATTAGTACTACACAAAGTGCTAAGTATAACTACAATTAAAACTACACAAAGTACTAAGTATAACTATAATTAGTACTACACAAAGTATTATGTATTACTATAATTGGTACTACACAAAGTATTAAATATAACTACAATTAGTACTACACAAAGTGCTAAGTATAACTACAATTAAAACTACACAAAGTACTAAGTATAACTACAATTAGTACTACACAAAGTATTAAGTATTACTATAATTGGTGCTACACAAAGTATTAAGTAAAACTACAATTATTATTACACAAAGTACTAAATATAACTACAATTAGTACTACACAAAGTATTAAATATAAC